GCAGTGGCCCTGGGGAATGGCTGGAGAAGTAGCGAGACCTCTGACAGGCAGACAGCTAAACACTTTATCTCTAAGTAAAGGCAGGGGGTAGGAGGGGAGACCCTCTTTGCCCCAGGCATCCTAAAACTTTCCATGGGACACAGCTTGAGTGTTTGGGGCCCAGGGGGATAGGTGGTAGTGGTGGGGATGGGAAGGAGAAGTGGAGTCACAAGCCTCGGTTTGCTAGTGGTTTGTCCTTGCACAGAGGAGGAGAAGGCTGAGGCCCAGGCATTTGAGGGAAGGACCAGGTGAAGCCTGAAGGGAGGACGGCGTGGTGGTAGAGGAAGGTGGAGAGTAGGGGAGAAAGGGTGGCCCCTGCTCCTGAGACTCACCCTTTCCTCTCTGTGCAACTCATTCCAGAGAGGCAGAGCTGCAGAAGTCGATTGGCAAGGAGGTGAGTGGGCAGGCACTTTGAATTGTAAAAGTAAACCTGGGGACTCGGGTGGGGTTATGTCTTTTGTGGGGTTGGGGTGGGCACTGGGGTGAGACAGGGCGGGATGAGACCGGGGTTGCAGACAAGTTTCTGTGTGCATGGTACCGGTGGAAGGGATGATGATGACAGTGGTGTGGCGTGTGTGTGTGGCGTGTGTGTGGCCGGGGGCCTTTACCTGCCCCTATGCGCCAATGTTAGCCACCTGAATTCAGGCCCCAACCCCGGCTGACATCCAAGTCTGGGGGCACCAGCTCTCCATCACATGCTCGTGGTCATCACCCCGGCAGCTCAGCCATCTTCTACTACCAAAAGCCTTTTTCATTATCAGATGTGTAGTGAGAGCAGCTGGGTGGGGAATTTTGCCTTTCACCAGGGGTCTTGGGGAGGCTAGTCTGCAGAGGAGGAGTAATCAGGGCGGGCCGAGGCCTCATGGGGGAAAGCTTCTGGAGGAAGTTTGCTCCTGGTCTTTTCTGTGGTAGCCACCACACACACACACACACACACACACACACACGCCATCCTTTCCCACCACCCTGACCAGAAGGCAAAGTGGACACAGAACTGCAAGGATCAGACCCTTATCTGGTCCGTCCTGTCTGCCTTAGTGCTCACCATGTTCCAGAGCAAAGAAAGACCCCCACAGCCTGAGTCCCCAGGCTTACTTACACCAAAGTGCCTTGCCCACTCACCTCCTTTGCCACCGACTTCTGCAGCCTGCCTCTCTGCTCGAGCTGCACAGAGAGGAAAGGGTGAGCTCCCAGGAGCAGGGCCAGCCCCACCCTTCTCTCCTACCACCTTCCCTCTACACTCACCACGTCCTCCTTCAGGCGCCCTGCCACCTGGTCCTCCTCAAATGCCTGGGCCTCAGCCTTCTCCTCCTCTGTGCAAGGACAAACCAGACCAAGTAAACCGAGGCCGAGACTCCACTTCTCCCTTCCCATCCCCACCACCACCACCTCCATCCTGGGCCCCAAACACTCAAGCTGTGTCCCATGGAAAGTTTAGGATGCCTTGGGCAAAGGAGGGGTCTCCTCCTGCCTACCCCCTGCCTTTACTTAGAGATAAAGTAAGCTGAAGGTCTGGCCCAGCCCAGGAGGTCCGTTACTCTCCTAGCCATTCTCCCCCAGGGCCACTGGCACCAGGAGCTCTGACAGCCCACCAGGTACCTGCATCAGTCACCCATCAGGTACAGCAGGCAGCCTTAAGCACAGACCCTGAACTCACAGGCCCAGTGCATGGGCTCACCTTGTTGCCTGAGCTGCTCCAAGTAGAGTTTGGCCAAGCGCAGCTTCTTTTCCTGGGCTGTCTCCTCCAGCTCCTCCTCCTCTTCCTCCTCAGTCCTCCTGGGAGCTAGGCTGGGGGTGGGGAGGGGCTGGCTCTGAGGGGGCTCACCCCGCTTCTCTAGCCTCTAGGACCATGCCTCGTCGCTGCTTCCCGACACTCAACCGCCCCCATCCCTGCCAGCCCTCATGGCCAACGATTACACATGTAGAAAACCAAAACAGGTGGCTTACCAAATTGAAAGGACCTACCCAGTGCCCGACATAAGGGTGAAAAGAGACCCCAAACCCAAGAAGATCACTGTGAAGTTTCTCAATTCTAGAGGGAAAGAGAAGGTTCTACAGGCTGCTGACAAAAGGTTACATACAAAGGGTCAGGAATCAAAAGGCTTCAGAAGTCTCAACAACAACACTGAAAGCAGGCAGGCAAAGGAGTCTCACACACAAAATTCTGAAGGAAAATGTGAACTCCTGGAAGGCCATGCCAGTTACTATCAGATATACAAGGTGCCACAAGATTGGTCTTTTCTACACTTCATTTAAGGATGGGGATGTGCTCCCCAAACAAGAGGATAAACTAAGAATGAGAAAGGCATGGGAGACAGGGAATAGGAGATCCAACATGAAAAGCAGAAAAGGTAAATCCCAGAACCACCCCCAGACAGGGGAGCAGCCAGCCCAGGTCTGAAAAAAGGACCCAAGAGGCAGACACGCTGGGATGTCATTGCCTCATCCTCACCTTGGATGCCACCTCACTATGGATGCCATAGCACCATCCTCTACCTTGAGGACAGGATTCCAGGTGAAGCTTAACTGGTCTTGGCTTGACCTTGTGCTGAAGTTTCTGCTTTCCCTTCCACGCCCCACTCCCTACCACAGCTGAGGGCACTCTCTTTACTCAAGACAAGTCCTACTTTGACTTGCTCCTGGGAGCTAGAGGTAGGTCACAGGAACCGTCCCTTCTGATCACATGCCTAAAGATACCTAGTCCCTGTCAAATGCCCCAGTTGTTCCCCAGGACTCATTCACGACCCTGCCCACAACTTTCCCAGAAAGGACCTTGGAAACTCTCAAGGAAGCTGAAGCTAAATCAGGTCACAGAGACCATTTAGTACTCAGTGCTCAGCAAGACTTCAGCCAACAGGGTTGGTGGCTGCCCTGCTAACCAGCCAACGTTAGAACTTGCACTCCATTTACCCAAACTAATCGGTCTATTGTTTAGGGGTTCACACATAGGAGACAGAACTCTGAAGGAAAGCAAAGGAAATATACATTGTATTGTATAATTCCACTCATTTGATGTTCTGGAAAAAGCAAAATCCAGGGACAGTAGTTAGCAGGGACTGGAGGCAGGGCAGTAACTGACCGCAAAGGAGTGGCGGGGAGTTCTGGAGTGTGATGAAACCCTTCTATACCTTCACAGTGGTGGTCGTTATACAACTACATGTGTTTAACTCACAAACTGTACGCTAAAAAAGGTGAATATTACTATATGTAAATTGTATCTGAATGAAAAAAATGAAGAAGAGAAGGAGAAGGAGGGGAGGGAGGAAGAAGGGGAGACCAAAGAAATGATTAACTCAAGTCAGGAATGCAGTTGGGGCTTCCAAGTTTCCGCAAATGGTCTAGTTCCTAACCTAAGGGGTGGGCGCACAGAGGTTCATCATTTCACCACTGCTCCCTATAGTACAAAACGCGTTTCATGAACTCTGCTGTATCTCATACATTCACAACACATTCTTTAAACGTTAAAAGTATTTGGCACAGGGCCAGACACACACCTGCCCAGAGTAACCTTGAGAGAAAATATATATCTCTGTGAGCAGGTTAAGGCCAACATGTACTCAGTTGTTTTTTGTTTTTTTTTTTTAATTTATTTATTTTTGGGATAGAGAGAGACAGAGCATGAACAGGGGAGGGTCAGAGAGAGGGAGACACAGAATCGGAAACAGGCTCCAGGCTCCGAGCCATCAGCCCAGAGCCTGACGCAGGGCTCGAACTCACGGACCGCGAGATCGTGACCTGGCTGAAGTCGGACGCTTAACCGACTGCGCCACCCAGGCGCCCCTGTACTCAGTTTTAGAAGCTGAATTTCTAAGGCCAACTCTAGGATCCATCCCCTGATATGACAGACTCCATTCCACAGGCTCAGGACTTGACACTTTGCTAGCGTCCTCTGAAACCCTGCATCATGCCCCACCCCTGTCACCCGCAGAATGAGGGAGGTATTAAAAGCCCTCCACAATCTGGATGCAGCCAACACCTACCTTTCCATCCTCTCCATCTCCCAGTCTGGCAGTTTTACATACAAATTTGACAATTTACATACATAGACTTTTCTCTGATCCCTGAGTGTCCTCCCTACCTCTACATGAGGGACTCCTCTTCATCTCTCCAGGCCCTATTTAAATGTTCCCTCACCTGTCTCCAGAACACAGAGCTGTAGAATACACATCCTATTACAACACGTTTTGTCTTCACCTGCCTGCTGATCTCTATTCTCAACAGTAAAGCCAGTACCTGGCGTATGTTGAGAGTCAGCGGGGAGAGCAGCAATTGTAAAATTGTGGGAAAGCAGATGAAGAACTAGCAAGCATTTCTTGCATTCCACTTCCCTTACCAGCCAGTCCAGCCTGTGCTCAGGTCCCTGCCAATGAGGGAACTCTCACTGGTCTCGCATTGGGACCCTGCAGGGAAGGAGATGAGACTTCTCAATCTCCTCAAGATGAGACCTACTCATCAGGGTTAGAACTGGAGGAAAGAGCCAAGATCTAAGAGCCAAAAAGGCGGGAAACCTGGGTTCTAGGCCCAGCTCTGCCCACACTCACTGAATCTTCCATACACCATGGGCCTCAGTGTCCCCTTCCCCCAATGGAAGAGAGCTCACCTCTCACTCTCGGAGTCGCTGGAGATCTCCTCATTCATCTTGCCGCCTCCCTTGGACTTGCCCTTCTCCCCGGCAGAATCCGCCTGAGAATTAAATAATCCTTTCGTTGGTCAAGGGTCCCAACCACCCCGGCACTGTGCAAGAGCCCTTTCCGATCCCTCGAGAGCCGCGGGACTAGGAAAGGCGGTGGCCCCCCGGCTCAAGTGCAAGGCCTTCCAGGATTTGGCCCGCGGAGAGAGGGACGAAGCTGACTCCAGCTGGAATCCCGAAAAAAGGGCCACGGAGGGGCCGGGGGCCAGGATGTCCGTAGGAGATGACGGTGGTCCCAGTAACGGGACTGACTCTGGCCTGCAGAAGAGCCAGACTCACCTTCCGCCGCCGCTTGCCGGCCCCTGCACCGGCCCCGGCCCCCGAGGCCGACCTTCCGCGTTTTCGAGCCGCCGCTGCCGCCGACATGCTGCCCACCTTGCGTGTAAGGACCGCCACGGAGAACTCACGTGGCTGCTAAACCCAGGCGGTCTGGCAAGACTCCGGGCCCGGATAGGCTCCCATTGCCCGGTGGGCCCCGCCTCCCACAGCTCCATTGGGTCCTTCTGTAAACTCTGCCACGCCCCCCAAGCGTCCATAGGGTAAACGCTTGTGGCCACGCCTCCAACAGTTCCTACAGGCTCCCGCGCCAGTCTCCAGTAGATAGCAAGCCTCTCCGGGCGCTTCCGGCACAAGGCAGTGGCGCGTGCGCCCTGCTTCAAGCTGACGTCCAAGGGCGGGTCGGAAGAGACTGGCTTTCTCTGTGTTTGCGGCCCTTGAACGCTGGGAGGTGTCAGAGATGCAGGGTTTCACGTCTCGGAACGTGACTCCTCCCCGTCGGGGGCGGGGGCAAGAACGAACCAGCCTGGCACTAGATAACCCCGGGGAATCTAGGCAGCCTCGAGAAGAGGTAGGCAGTGCCTGCACCAGGGTCCAAGGTCATTGGCAACCGGCGGACTTGTACTGCGCACTTCTGGCCAGACAAGCGGCGCTCAGGATGCGTCAGTCCCTTAGGCCTTGGCTGTATCCCTATCAAGTGTCCTTGGGTCCGTGGGACAGGCTGCCGGCCTCCTCCTGCCCAGCCTCTGACTCACTTGACTGGTGGCCAGATAGCTAGAAAACCACACCCCCCCACTCCTGTGTTGCCCCTGCCCCCACCCTCTGGCGATTGTAGGGAAATCACTCTCCAAGTCACACCTAAGGTTACAGAGGGTTGCTAGACAAGGTCCTAGAACTGGAACTGCTGTGGGGGTCCTGATAGTAGACCTAGTGGCCGCCACTAGGCCACCACTAGCCGCCAGGTCACGGCTTCTTTCTCCTAGGTGAGTGCCCTATGATCCAGCCCACAGCCCTCCGCAGGGCAGGGCAGGGATGGGTGGGACTGGCCCTTGCCCTCTGGCAGTTCAAGGCCACTGATCTCACACCCTGACTGGCACCCCAGAACTTTTGAACCCCTTGGGAATGAATGGTTTCTGGGCCCCTGGGTCGCACGTTCTGGAGGGACACATCTGGCCCCAGGAGTGTGGCCCCGGGGAGCTACTACTGCCCACTGTCCTCCATAGTTGGGTGACTCAGCCTAGCAACCATGTCAGGCCCATCTGAGTCAGCTGAGACAGGGGAGGAGCAAGCAGTACCCAGGGAGTGCTCTGAAGGGAGGAGGAGCCCAGAAGCAAGAGGAAGGAGATTTCCTTTCACTTTCCCTCCCTCATCAGGACATACTGGATTGCTAGAGGATAGGGAACCACTCTTCCTTGACCCCGGGCAGACTGTACAGGGTCCTGGCCTGGCCCCTCTGAATGGGAAAAGGGAAAGGTGACTGGTACAGAGAGCTGGTTTTGGTCTGAGTCTGGGAATGGGGAAATGGAAGCAGGGGGAGACAGTGGCTTGAGGGTGGGGGGTTGGGGGCAGAACACCAAAGGGCAAACCCAAAGTGGGGCAAGCTGGTGCTGTGCCAGCCAGGTGGAATGCAGAGTCCATGAAGCCCTGAGGGACCCCTCTGTGCCCCAGAAGAGCCATGGCTCCAAAGCGCAAGCCCCCGGTGCAACATGCGGGTCCTGAAAAAAAGAAGGGGCGTCAGGGGGCAGAGGAGGAGGACAGCTTCCGCTCCACTGCCAAGGCTCTCAGAGCTGCACCCACAGAGAAGCACATAGTCCGAGTGGATCCAGCATGCCCACTCAGCCACAGTCCCAGGACTCAGGTAAGCTGTAGGCCCCATCCAGTCTTGGAGCCTACTCCTTCCTAGGTATAAATACACTCAGACCTACTCTGCTTCCCACTGGGGCTTGGTTCTGGCCTGATAGGTCAAGGTCCCAAGTAAGCTATGTTCCCTCAGGACCCCAAAGGTCATGTAGGGTTATATACCATCAGATCCAGGCAGGTCATGTCTGTTCTGCAGACCCCAGAGCAGACCCCTGAGCTTCTTAGGCCTCTCCCTGCCACACTTAAGGCAGGGCTGTGACCCCTCAGTCTTCCCAGGGCTCACTATGTCCCCTAAAGCAGCCCCACAGAGCCATGTCCCCTGAGATCCCTTGCATGGCAGGGTCATGTTCCTGTCAACCCCCCAGGGCAGAACCAATGTCTCTCTCTGATTCCCTGACACAGGGCACAGCCATGTCCTCCCAGAACTCCCCCCAACTGCCTGGGTTGAGTCATGTCCCCTCAGTCTGTGTCCCCCAGGGCAGAACCGTGACCTCCTCAAGCCTTCCCTGACAGGGCCTCCTCCGATGCCCCAGTGCAGCATGACTCCTTCCCCATCAGACCCCTGTCATTGTGCAGCTGGGTACCTTGTCTCATTCAAGGGCAGCCCAAGCCAGCCTGCCTTCCCTATGCCCCCTCTGGCCCCAGGTGCATGAAGACTACGCCTGCACCCTGAACCAGACCAACATCGGGAGCAACAACAACAAATTCTACATCATCCAGCTGCTGGAAGATGGTGACCGCTTCGCCTGCTGGAACCGCTGGGGTCGTGTGGTGAGTGCCACCTTCCCACCCTGTGCCCACCTCCTCCCCACCTCTCCCTTTACAATACATGCCCCCTACTCCCCCAGGGTCCCCACAACTTACTCAGCTGCTGACCACACCCCCTCCCCACTTCTGACTACCCAGGGGCTCTTGGCACAGCAGAGGGCAACTAATGTCCACAGTGGGTACTGTCGCAGGCACACCCCTGAAGGTTGTTGGTTGCAGGGAGAAGTGGGCCAGTCAAAGCTCAGCTATTTCGTGTTACTGGAGGATGCAAAAAAGGACTTTGAGAAGAAGTTTCGGGACAAGACCAAGAACAGCTGGGTGGATCGGGACCATTTTGTGGCCCACCCGGGCAAGTACATGCTTATTGAAGTACGGGGAGAGGACGAGGCCCAGGAAGCCATGGTGAAGGTGAAGTGGCCAGGGAGGGTGGTGGGCCTTGCGTTGAGGGAGGGGACTAGATGGAGAGACCCAGCCAGTTGTGTTCTGCCACTGTCCAGCTTTGTGGCCTCAGGCATAGACCTCTCTTCTCCGGTCTCAACCTGGCCAGTCTCTGTTTAATGCCAGGTTCTTCTCTGGCTGTGCCCAGCTACTCCTGCTCATTTGTGCCCTCTACCTCTAGATGGTTGGAGGCCCAGTAAGGACCATGGTTCAGCAGGTGCGGCCCTGCTCCCTGGACGCAGCTACACAGAAGCTCATCACCAACATCTTCAGCAAAGACATGTTCAAGAATGCCATGACCCTCATGAACCTGGGTGAGGGGAGAGAGGGTTGCAGGGGCCTGGGGGCTGCAAGGCCATGGGACTGAGTCTCCCTGACTTTCCCCACCTCCTAGATGTGAAGAAGATGCCCCTAGGGAAGTTGAGCAAGCAGCAAATTGCACAGGGCTTCGAGGCTCTGGAGGCACTGGAGGCGGCCCTCAAAGACCCTACGGATGGTGGCCTCAGCCTGGAGAAGCTATCCTCCCACTTCTACACTGTCATTCCCCACAACTTTGGCCGCAATCGGCCCCCATCTATCAACTCCCTTGAGCTTCTGCAGGCCAAAAAGGACATGCTGCTGGTGAGGGTTGGCAAGTGGGTGGGCAGTGGGGCAGACAGAGAGACTGGGCAAGGGAGATGGAGGACAGATGGCCAAGAAGGCCCAGATAGGTGGACTGAATGGGTAGGTTGAAGGACAGGGGAGGGGAAGGCCAGGCAGATAGATGGTATGGGGGTGCACAGGTGGGGTGACCATGGTCCCAGTCATGTGGGAGGGAGGAGGCTGGGAGTCAAGTGGACAGACAAGCTGCCAGTGCCCATCACTTTAGGTGCTGGCAGACATCGAGCTGGCTCAGACCCTGCAGGCAGCCCCTGAAGAGGAGAAGGTGAAGGAGGTGCCACACCCACTGGACCGAGACTACCAGCTCCTTAAGTGCCAGCTCCAGCTGCTCGACTCCGAGGCACCCGAGTACAAGGTGGGCCAGGTCCCACAGAGGAGCCTGGCTAATAGCAAGCACTGTCCCTCTACCCATCTGCCCTCCTGGTGTGCAGAGGAATCCCTTGGCCTTGGCCTTGGCCTTGGCCTTCTCTCCCTGTGTCTGAAGGGCCCAAAGAGAGTTCTGGGACTGGGGCACCAGTGGAGGTTTGTCCACACATCTGTCAGCCTCGGCATCCAGCATCTGCTTTCCTTGCAGGTAATATATACCTACTTAGAACAGACTGGCAACACCTACAGGTGCCCTGTTCTTCAACATGTTTGGAAAGTAAACCGAGAAGGGGAGGTAAGAGAGATTCCTCCCAACCCACTCCCCTATCACTATCTGACTCTGAAGGAGATGACCTTAGTTTATGTGCCCATTAGTGAGTCAGCTTAACAACTTGTCAGTTTCCCTCAGACCCAGGTCTTGTGCATGTGTACATGAGTGGATGTGATTGGCCAGAGGGGCCTTTGGCCTTGGTGGTGCTCTCTGAGCATCAGGGAGAAGCACCTGAGCTTGGATAGCATGACCTTTCCTGTTCCCACCTCCTTCCCCCCAGGGAGATAGGTTCCAGGCCCACGCCAAGCTGGGTAATCGGAGGCTGCTGTGGCATGGCACCAATGTGGCTGTGGTGGCCGCCATCCTCACCAGTGGGCTTCGCATCATGCCACATTCTGGTGGCCGCGTTGGCAAGGGCATCTACTTCGCCTCAGAGAATAGCAAGGCAGCGGGCTATGGTGAGATACCCCCGGGGGCCACCTGGGCAGATGCAGGACACCAGGGAGGACCAGGCCCAGTGCTCGCCCAAAAGAGGAAACCTTGAATAGCTACTGACGAGAGTGCTCAGCGGGGCATCCTGAGTCCTATGGGGACTCCGTGGAGGGGCCAGTGGTCACAGACAGGTCAGACAGCCCCAGGCAGCATCTCTTCCTGGAGCAGGTGATGCAGATAGGATGAGCGTGCCAGCCAGATGTGGAGGGGAGTGCAGTGAAAGAGGAGGTTTGGAGGTAAAGAAACTAGGAAGTGGCACACAGGCTGGGAGGCTACGCACACCATGTCAGGACCTCCAAGCACAGCCTGATGATAAGGATCCAAGCAAATGCCTTGTGTGGGCGGGAGGGCTGGGGCCTGGAAGATCAAGGGAGCTTTATCCAGATAGTGATGGGACCCTCACCAGACTTGGTATAGCAGCAGCATCTCAGTGGCTACAGCCTCAGGGAGAGCGACTGAGGCCAGAGCATAGGGAGGCCATGTTCTTACCCAGGCCAGATGTGATGGGCACACAACCCAGGCAGTGGAGGTGGGGGAAGAAAGAATCCGTGAGAGGGATGTGCGGGAGGTGGGATGGGCAGCATGTGTGACAGGGTTGAAGTATCTCTGATGACCCCCAAGTTTCTGTCCAGAGGTGTCCTCACTGAGGAGACCTCCCCAGACTGGCTCCCCGGCCAGCCCATCATTGGAGACCACCACCACCCACTGATCCAAGAGAGCAAGGTTGGATGGGGCTGATGTTCTTGGATGTCTGAGGTTGCTCAAGGCCAAGGGGACCACCAGGAGGGCAGAAGAGCTTATGAAGGAGTAGAGGGTAGCCTCAGCAGAGCCAGTGCAATGGGGTCCTAGGCTAGGGGGTGGAGGATGCCAGTGGTAAAATCAACAGAACAGGCCAGAGAGAAAAGGCCTCCACCCTGGATTTGGTCACTGAGAGCCCCTTGCTGACGTTGGTGTCGGGTAGAAGGGGCTGCATACACCTGCTCTCAGGGATCAGAAGAGTGGGGTAAGGGGTGGGGGGGAGCACAGCCAGGACAAGCGGTGTTTTTAAGGATGCAGGAAGAGTGGGCACTTTCCTTGGCTCGGTCAACAAAGCCAGAGGAGATAAGGATGCAGCAGAAGGGGACCAGGGAGTCAGGTAGGAGGGCCAAGCTTCTTCCCTGTGTCCCCCAGTTACTGGCATGTCCTGCGGAGCCCACCAAATTGGCTACATGTTCCTGGGTGAGGTGGCACTGGGCAGAGAGTACCACATCACCATCGACGAGCCCAGCTTGAAGCAGCCACCCCCTGGCTTCGACAGTGTCATTGCCCGAGGCCACACAGAGCCTGGTGAGTCCTGAAAAGCTAGACAGGCCTGAGGATAGAGACCTGGGGCTGAGCTAGGGGACCAGGATGCTTTCAGGGCATGGTGGGCCCAGGAGGTGGGCAGGGAAGGAGCTGAGGAGAGGGACAAAAAGCAGTAGGCTTCTTCACTATGGTCATTCACTTTGTCATTCGACAAACATTTGCTGATTGAACATATTCCTGGGCATCCAGGAGGGCTTCAACGAAAAGGTGTCATTGAGCATTGAAAGATATAAGTAGGCATTTCCCAGGCAGAGAAATGGGGAGGATACTCCAGGCAGAAGGCCCGGCCTGTGCAGTGGCTTGGAGATTGCAAGGGGGGGAATGAGCAGGTGTTCCCTGTGGCAGAAGTGGAGAGCATAGGAGGCAGAACTTACTGGTAAAGCCAAGGACCAGTGACCCTTGAGTCACCCATGGCCCTTGCTGTGCCCTGCAGATCCAGCCAAGGACACCGAGCTGGAGCTGGATGGACAGCGAGTGGCAGTGCCCCAGGGCCAGCCCGTGCCCTGCACAGAGTTCAGCAGCTCCACCTTCTCCCAGAGCGAATATCTCATCTACCAAGAGAGCCAGTGTCGCCTGCGCTACCTGCTAGAGGTTCATCTCTGAGCTGTCCCCCTACCCTTGCCCCGGGGCCTGCTGGCCGCTAGACCATCATCTCAACCTTCCTGCCCATCCCCCATATCACCCCTTCTTGCCCCCAGATCTCCCTCTTGTGTCCCAGACAGTGATCTCCCCCTCCCTCCAATCCTTGCTAGCCCTGGCATGGCTGTGGCCCCAGAGTCTCACCTCCTAAGGTGATGGGCATGATGGGCTGCCATTATTACTGGGGCACAGATACAGCAGCCCATTCAAGTTAGAGGAGCACAGACTGAGAGTGGGCAGAATCCCAGATCCACCTGGGCTGTCCACCCTGGCCCAGCTTGTCTGTCCGAGAGGTGTGAGCACCAGGGTAGGCTAAACTTCAAGCATGCACAGCAAGCTTATTAAATATTGTATCTGCTCACTCCCTGGCCTCTGCTTGTCTGTGCCGCAGCTGCACCAGGCCCAGGCCTCCTTTTCTCTTGTTGGGAACCCACTACACCGCACAGCTGCACCAGCCCACTCCAGGGAGCAAGCACTCACAAGGTTGATGTGGGATGCACACACATGCGCACACACACACACACACACACACACACACGCACAGGTCGATCTACATCCAAGTCTGCAACAACTAGCCTCCTGATCATTGAGCCTTCAAAGGGGGATTCAAAACTGTTGGGCATCTGGAGACTCACCTGGGCATCTGGGGACTCATTTGGCCCAGACACAGCCAGGCAAATCAAGCATTCCTGTCTTGGGGCCAAGCATCCGTATGTATCTTACATCTGAATATTATTAACAAGTTCAGCACATATCCATGGAATACTGCTGTACAATCATGAAAGGAATGACAGCCACCCCCAGGTAACCCTGTCCACAAATGGGGTGCAGGTACTAGAGAGCAATCAGGATCCAGTCCGGGGTCTCACACTGCATTTAGTTGTTGTGTCTCATCCGTCTCTTTCAGTCTGAAGCCATTCCTCAGCCCTTCTTGTCCCTTCATGACTTTGACATTCTTGACACTCGTGAAGGGGATGGGCCAGTTGTTTTACAGACTAACTCAAAATTTGGGTTTGTCTGATGTTTTGTCATGATCAGATTTGGGTAGTGCAGTTTGAGCAGGGACGTGACCTATGTGATGTGTCTTCGGTGCATTATATCCAGAGGGACATGTCCCATTCTAGGTGATGTTAATTTTGATCTCTTAAGGTGGTGACCACCAGGTTTCTCCACTGGAAAATTACCATTTCTCCTATTTGTAATTAATCGGTAATCTGTGGGAAAATATTTTGAGGTGTAAGTGTCCCATTTTTCCTGGACTTTCACCCACTAGCTTTAACATCCACTGGTGACTTTTACCTGGAATCAATGACTTAAATCAATTTTTGGTAAGATGGTTGCAAATGACAGTTATCTAATCCCACCATTTCTTTTATATTTATTGATACTAGTCCTTTTTCTTTCTTTATTATCCATATGGACTTGTGGATTCTTATTTTATGCATTAGGTTATAATCCATTACTATAATTATCCTGATCTTCAAAATGCCCCAGATTTTGCCAGCAGAAGGCCTTTCAAACTGATTCCTGGATCTATGTCATTTTCTGAGCACTTCCTTACTTTCTGGCATCACAAGATGTTCCAGGCTCATCTCACACAAACCCAAGTCAGCCATTTCTCCAAGGAGCCCTGGTTCCCTAGAGCAGGAAATGGTATTTAGCATCCCAGATTTGGGCAGTAGGTATGCTCCTTAGTTCTGGGGTGTCATTGCTTGTAAGTTCTTGTAGTAAAGAGAGCCAGGAAATACGTGTATGTAAATAAATTAACACATCTGTCTGTCTATATCTATTTCTTCAATTCTAATCCAACACCACAGGGCTCTTCCATTCTTCCTCAAATACATATTTAAAATATCTCTTTTCTCTAACAGAATCTTGGTTTCCATCAACCTTAATATATTTACTTATCACTAAATCCCATGTGAAAAGGGGCTTCAGAATTGCCACACCTGTACCATTATGAAAAACAAACCAAAGTCAAGCTCCAGATGTATTGAATCTTATTCATGACCACCCTCTAGACTGAGGGTCAATGGTCAAAGCAGCAGTTTGAGCACAGGTTCAAATGTTATTTGGATGAGCTATTTATTTCTCTTCAGTGTGGCTGTTATGCATTTGAAATACAGGGAGGTTCATTTGTTTCTGTTTATAGTTCACTTTCAGGGAGTTTCCCTCATCTTCATTTATTTGTTTTTTTCAATCCATAGAACATTAACAGAGTCCCCAAAAGTCCAATCTTTTGGACATAAGCATGCACTCCGAAAAGTGTCCTTCTCCAGCCTTTCACTCCATTCCCACCAACCTGCTGCAGTTTCTGATTTATCCTTCCTCCATTTCTTTGTGCAAATTAAACCAAAAAAACCCCACATAAACTATGAAGTGTTCCATTTTCCCCCCATTTTTAATTGAGTAGGACTGTTTTGGTGGGAGGGGGCACTCTCCAACCCACCATCGTCTCTGTCCCTCCCCTAGCACCTTTCCCAGCCCACGTTTCTCATTTGCTATTCCCACTTGGCCCTTCTGAACCCTCCCCAGGCCCTGGTGGCTCAGGCACTGCCCCAGCCCTGCAGGCCCAGCTGGGCAGGGAGAAGACGAAGGAGAACGTGTTGGACTTCCCCTTACTCTCAACCAAGACCTCAAAAATCCAGCTTCACCTCCTAGAGGCAAATACCTATGTTCAAATTGTGGCCAAGCTCAGGAAGTGGTGCCTGTGTGGACAGAGCCCAGGAAGCAGGTGACCTGGGTTCCAGGTACAACTTAGCTGTGTGATTTGGGACACATTCCTTACCTCTCTGAGTGCCAGTTTTCTCATTTGAATAATGGAGAATTGGATCAGGCCCTTCAAATTCCAGCAGGAAATGAGTCAAATCTGGAGGTTCATGCCCTGGTGGCTACCATCTAGCTCTATACAACGCTGATCATGTGCCTGGGCACAGGCACGAGCAAGACACAGCCAAAACCCCTGCTCTCATGGACCTTACAGGCTAGTACAACAGGCTGTAAACAAGCACATGCATAGATATGAAATTTATCAAGTAGGGAAAGTGCCAGGAAGAAAAATAAGTCAGGGTAAAAGAATTAGTGATGGGAAGGTGGGGGGATGTTAGAAAAGATGGTCACTGAAGGCCTCTCTCAAGCAGAGCCCTGAATTAGGTGAAGGACTAACTCCTGGACAGATCTGAGGGAAGCATACTCTGATAGAGGAAATAGCACATGTGAAGATCCTGAGGTGGAAACCAGTTTGACATGTTGGAGGACCAGCAAGATGGTTGCTATGGCTGGAAGTGTGGTCATCAAGAAAGAGTGTGAGGTCAGAAAGGTGGGGAGAAGGCCAACTGGGCACAGAGGAGCTGAGAGTCTATTCTGATGATGGGAAGCTCTGAGAGGGATAACAGCAGGATCGTGACATGATCTGATTTGTTTTTAGAGGGATCCACTTCAGCAGCTGTGTAGAGATGGACTGGAGGGTGTGTTAATCAAGATCCATCAGCAAAGCTGAAATCACCCTGGGGATTCCAGACAAGGGGAATTTGATACAGGAAAGAAACTGAACTACCAGAGGGGATGGTGAGGCAATCCAAAGATTAGCAACAGCAGGAAGTTGCTACCACCCTTAGGCTGGAGGGATAATGGAAGGAAATGATATTCCACCATGGGAGGCCAGGGTCTCCCTTCAGGTGTGGAACGACAGAGGGGGCTGCGTGAAGGAGAGAGAGGCTGTCCTCCACAAAGGACAGTAGATTCAGAGCCCCAGGCTGAGAGCATGAGAGGGAAAATACCTCGGCTTCTTCCCTCCCTCCACCCTCCAGTCTTCTGCTAACTTCCATTAGCTGAATACACCCAAAAACCAGCTATAAAGAACACTGAGAAGTACAGTTCCCTGGAAGGCGGAGCACTGGGGAAGACTGGGGAATGGATCTGAGGACAAACAAATGACTGCATGAGGTGCAGAGGCAGAGGCCAGGAGATCAGTTGAGAGGATGCTGAAGTGGTTCGGGTGAGGGATGGTGGTGGGAGAAATGGCTGGATTCACACATATTAATGGATTGGACATGGGGCCTGGGGGAAGGGAGGCATTAGTAAAACCTTCTGAGATGGGGAAGACTCTGAGAGGAGCACATTGAGGAGAGAGGTCAAGAGTCATGGTTCTGTTTTGGACATAGGAAGTTTAAGGCACCCAGTAGTCAAAGTACTGGGGGAGATGTTGGAGAGGCAGGGGAGAGAAAGGAGCTTCGGATATTAGTCAAACCACCAGGGCATAGAAGGGGGTTGGACAGGGGACTGGGTGACTTCACCTGGGGGCATATGCCCCATTAGAGTCACATGGCTTTCCCAGAGCCAACCACCTCCGGTGTGGGGGGATGCCATACACTGGCTGGGACTGGGTTTTGCACCTTAGGAAGACAGAGGGTGGGGATCTTGCTCTCCCAACCCCTAACCCTGAGAATTGGGGAGGGGTGGTTTCCTAAAGGAAACTCAGGGTGCTCTTAGCAGAAGGGACTTGTTTGCTAACAGCAAAAACAAAACCGAACAAAAAAACAGCAGTCAAAATGGTAACTACACTTAGCGTGGTTTTGTAATGTATAGAATTGTCGAATGTACACCTGAATTAATATGTCAACTATACTTCAATTAAAACAACAAAAAAACCCCAAGAGTTTCCCCCAAAGCCTCCTCTTATTAATTCCACACACTATCATGAAGCACCTAGTCTGTGCCAAGTTAATCCTTGTGGAGAGCCTACTCTGCGCCACATCCTACGATGTTTTTCCCTCACTTTTCCTAGCCTCCTCTCTGAGAGAACTAGCCCTCCTGTAGCCCTCCCCGCTGCAGCCCTTGTCTTACTGGTACCCCAGTTTCCCCTCAGGACAAAGGCTGAATAATCTGATTACCCCCACTGGTGGAGATGAGAAGGGAGAGCATGTGGAGGACCACTTCCTGCCCTGGGGAAAGGCAGAGCAGGGTCCCACAGACTCTGAAGCCCCCACTCTGATGTCTCAGTCTAGACTCCAGCCTGTGCCTGCTCTGGGCCCCCCTCCAGAGGCACCCCCAGCTCCTCCACAGCACAGTCTCCAGCCAGCAGCTGGCAGCTGCTAGGACCCAGGGGGCTGGTGCCAGGCCCTGCTCCTCCCTTGCCAGCTCTGTCTCTAAAGGGCAACATCAGAGTATCAGCCAGTACCATCTCCAGCAGAGGCTGAGTTGCGGCGGTAAGGGGAGAGAGCAGAAGTCCCAGCCTTGCATCCCTCCATGGGGCCGCCCAAGCCCCTGAGAGGATGGCAGCCTGGGCGATGGAGCCAGCACCGGGGCATCCTGTGAGGTGAGGGGCCAGAGGAGCAAGGGACAGGTGATGGGAAGGGGGGAGGGAAGACGCTCCATTTCGCTCTCTGCAGCCCAGCACAGGGTGAAGCCTGAGCGTTCGAATGGCCAACACCACAGTGCTGAACACCTCAGAAGTCGCCGTCTCGGCAGGGTTGATCCTGGCGGCTGTCGTGGAGGCAGCAGCACTGCTGGGCAACGGCGCGCTGCTGGTCGTGGTGCTGCGCACCCCAGGACTGCGTGACACGCTCTACCTGGTGCACCTGTGCGTCGTGGACCTGCTGGCGGCCGCCTCCATCATGCCGCTGGGCCTGCTGGCCGCGCCACCGCTGGGGCTGGGCCGCGTGCGCCTGGGCCCCGCGCCGTGCCGCGCCGCGCGCTTCCTCTCGGCGGCGCTGCTCCCCGCCTGCACGCTCGGGGTGGCCGCGCTCGGTCTGGCGCGCTACCGCCTCATAGTGCACCCGCTGCGGCCGGGCGCACGGCCTCCGCCGGGCCTGGTGCTCACGGCCGTGTGGGCCGCCGCGGGGCTGCTGGGCGCGCTCTCCCTGCTCGGGCCGCCGCCCGCGCCACCCCCGGCTCCACCGCGCTGCTCCGTCCTGGCCGGTGGCCTCGGGCCCTTCCGGCCGCTCTGGGCGCTGCTGGCCTTCGCGCTACCGGCCCTCCTGCTGCTCGGCGCCTACGGCGGCATCTTCCTCGTGGCCCGCCGTGCGGCCCTGCGGCCCCCGCGGCCCGCGCGCGGCCCCCGGCCGCGCTCCGACTCTCTGGATAGCCGCCTCTCCATCTTGCCACCCCTCCGGCCTCGCCTGCCTGGGGGCAAAGCAGCCCTGGCCCCAGCCCTGGCCGTGGGCCAGTTCGCAGCCTGCTGGCTGCCCTATGGCTGTGCGTGCCTGGCGCCCGCTGAGCAAGCCGCAGTGGCTGAGGCGCCCGTCACCTGGGTGGCCTACTCGGCCTTCGCGGTTCACCCCTTCCTGTATGGACTGCTACAGCGCCCCGTACGCCGGGCACTGGGCCGCCTTGCCCGCCGGGCTCTGCCCCAGCCCCCGCGGACCTGTACTCTCCGGGCCTGGCACCTGCCAACATTTCTGCAGCACCTCCAGGGACCTTCATTGCGCCCTGCCCTAGGCCCTCCTGGGGCACCAGAACAAGCCCCAGATTTGCCAGAAGGGGAGAACCTGAGCATGACAGGGGCCACCTGAGAGGAGATCTGTCTCCCATACTGAGCTGGCACTGGAGAAAGATGGTGGTGTCAGAAGGAGGCCCATCCAAACTCCTGCACAGTTCCAGGCAGGTGCCCTGCCTGGATTTCTGGCTCTGGAACAGGAGAAAGAGGGCCTGCAGCCTGGTGAGGCCAAGAGGCTTCTGGGAGCTAGGAATCCTGGGTTCTGAGCCTGACTCTGCATAGCTTTGTATACAGACCTACCCTTTCCTAGGCCTGTTTTCCCATTTGTATCCTGGACCATCTCTAAGAGCTCCTCCAGCTTAGGTGGTTTGGACACTCACGGCTAGTCCCCAGGCCAAAGAAGGAGAGGAAGTGGGCAGGATCACAGAGAAGTGGGCTCTAAGGGTTTACAGCCAAAGGGATGGACGAAGCAGGGCAAGGTCTAGGTAACAGCCACAGCAGGAGGAACCAGTGGAGAGATACTCAGAAGGACTTCCCTGACATCTACACCAAGGAGAGGCTGAACCAAGCTACTGGAACTCCTCTACCAGCTTCTAAAGTGCCCAGAAAACAACTGGATCAGTGTGGTCAGAGGCAGGAGGCTGAACAACATGACCCCAAAGGGCCCGAAGCCCCAAAACTGGCATGTGGAAGGAGCCAAAGCCCAATGGGGACCGGTGGATTCACAGATGGGGTCCTCCGGGACCTTGTCAACACCCATTTTCTGGAGGTTTTGCCAACACCCACAATGTTTCACAGCTTCCTGGTCTCTGAGAATATTTATTCAAAAACAGGGATTGAAAAAACTGTACAGAGTGTCTGCTGCTGAGAACTCGGCCCCTGCCTCCACACCACTCCCCCAGCTGCCCAGCAGGGTCCCCTCTTTGGGTTGCCCTCTGCCAAGCCCAGCCAGTCCATTCCAGTCAAAAGGGTATCAGTGGAAGCAGCAGGAATCTGCAGGGAGGTGGGGAGAGAAGCATGGCCCCCAGCCACCCCCCAGCCCTCCTCCCTGATCCCCACAGAGGAGCAGGAGACTGGGAAGCCCTAAGGGATGGGGAGTGCATGAGTGACCCTTTGAAGTGAGGGCACTAAGGATGCTCCCTGCATCCAAGCATAGAGCTAGAGGGGTTGGAGCCCCCTACCCTGGAGCTGCTGCAGTTCCCCAGACCCTGGGCCAGAAACTGCTCCCGCTCTAAGAGGAGTTACTCCCACAAACCGGGGCCGGGTGGGGGGTGCATCCATGCGTCTGGGCATTAGTGGTGTTTGGGACCCCAGGGTGGAGTCTCCTTGGGCAGATAGGGTGCAGAGGCAGCCCCTACCGGTGGTCCTGCCTGCCCCTGCGCCTGTGCCTCAGCCGGCCTCAGTAGGGGGAGAATTTCTGCCGCTCAGCTTTCTTGCTCCCATTGGCTGCTGCCATCTTGGCAGTGTAGGCCGCCAAGCCCGGCGGCGGCCCTGGGGAGGCAGGTGGTAGAGCCAAGAAGGGCACAGGCTTGAGGCCGATGAAGTTGGAGAGGGAGATGGCATAGGGTGTACCCAGCAGGCCTGGGGGAGCTGTGGGCAGGGCCGTCAGGGGCGGCGAGAAGGGGGCAGGCAGGTCTGTGGGGGCCGAGCCGGGCGTCCCCCCAGAGGTAGACTTGGCCGTTTCTAGACTGGAGAGAGGGATATGGGGGGAGATGCAGGGGAAGGTGGGGGTGAGAGAGGGGCAATGAGGGCAAATATAGGGGAGATTAGATGAAAGATGGAGAGGAATCGAGAACAATGTTCAACCCGAGAGAACAGGAATGGCAGGAGAGTGGGAAACGGGAAGAAAGAATAAGCAGGTAAGGTACGGGGTGAGAGGAGACGCAGGGAGGGCAAAACCCAGTGGAAAAAGACAGGGATGGGAAAAGAAGACACAAGGAATAGACGTGGAGGGGAGATGGGGCAACATGGAGTGGGAAGGGCAGGGTTGGGGAGGCAGAGGACACACCCAGACAGAGACAGAGAAGGGAGATCAGCTTTCCCGCCCCAAGTGTGCTTTTCACAGGCACATAAGCCCCGTGACCTGGGACACCCCCTCCCCACACTCACCAGGCAGTGATGAGGTACTGGGCCAGGGCGATGGAGACAGGGGAACCAGTGATGGTCACGTGCCTCTCGCCAGCACCCTCTGCTTGGTTCCCGATCTTGATATGTGCCCCTGACATCTGCCGGATCTCACTGATCTTGCTGCCCTGGCGCCCGATCACGCAGCCAATCAGCTGGGGGGACAACAGAATTCAACCCGAGGCCAGGCCCAGACTCCTGGGCCCCTGCTGCCCACCCTCAAACTACCCGATCCCCTGCTCACATCGTTGGGAACCAAGAACTCCTGTGAGCTGGTCTGTGTGCCAGGATCCAGTCCTGGGAGGGAGGAGAAGAGGGATCAGATGTGATTCTGGGCCTTTCCTGCCTCCCCATGTACATCCCAAGGGGGCTGTCTGCCCCTTGGAGTGTGCCCTTGCCTCCTTCTGCAGGGCTGCTCACCTGGCACCATGCTGGGTGAGGCAAAGGGGACTGCGTGGCCCGAGAGCTGCTGGAGCTTGGTGACCTGTGCCAAAGAAGAAGGGTCAGAAGTCAGAGGAGGCCTGGTTTGGGAAGGACTCCCTTGGGTTATGGTTACTCACCTCAGCTGGGGTCACAGCCCCATACTGACCCTGGACAGAAAAGCCCTGTGGGAGACAAAGTGGGTGAAGGGGGCTTACTGTGACAAGTCAGACCAATTTGGCCAGTCACTCCTCCTCCCACCCAACCTCCAAGTCCTTCTTCCATCCCTCCCCCATCTCAAGTCCCTTCTCCAGTAATGCTTCTCACCCCTCTTACTGTTCCACCTCACCTGGTTGGCAGAGAGAAGGACGGTACCTAAGGAGAGGCTTGGATGATATGGGATAGTAGCTCCTTTGGGTGGGGACTAGAAGGCACAAATGGGGGAAGCTCTGTCAGGACCCTCCAGGCCCCCCTGTATCCCCCAAGGGCCTATGTTTTCAAGGCCCTTCCCATGACCCCCAGGGTAAATGCATCCCGACACCCTGGAGCTCCCAGTCCATCCCTGCAGCCCTGCCCTGCCTCCACCCAGTGCCATATGCATAGGACTTGGTGGCCTGACAAGACGGACCAGGGCCCATCCCCGTCCCCTCTCCCTGCACCAGGGCAGCACCTCCAGGATAACAGCACAGATCTGGCGCACACACAGGATGATGGCATCAGGTACCCCAGACACAGTGACAGCACGCTCTGTAGAGTTGGGGAGCAGGTCTCCCGCCACCTGCACCTGGGCACCCGTGGTCTGCAAGCAGAGAACAGGGGCCACTTCTGGCTGCCCTTGTAATCCAGGCTAGGGCTGCCCAGGCTTAGAGCTCCCCAGGGGACAGGAAGCCATAAGCCCAGGTCCACTCTCTGAAGTGGAGGGTAGGACTCCCCGAGGGTGGTATCCCCCTTCTCCTCACCTCTCGAATCTCCTTGATCTTGGTGCCAGCCTTCCCAATCAGTGAGCCACACTGGCTTGCAGGGATGACAAGGCGCAGGGTCACCGGAGGCCTGGAGACATTTCCACCATTTGCAGGAGCAGCACAAAGGTCCTGGGTAGGAAGACTGTGGTTTGGCTGTGCTTGCCCCACCCCCGGAGCACCTTCCTGCTGGGGTTTGAAGGAGGGAAGCCCTGCCCAAATCCCACCCTAATGAAAGAACCCTGCCCCGGGCTTAGCCTTTCTTGCCACCTACAGCCACTGCGTGGAGTCGGAGCCCTGTTCCCCTGCCCCAGGGAACCACCCCTGGCCTCCCACCCCAGCCACCCACGGACCTCATCCAGCTTGAAGGCGATCATGGAGACTGCATGGAAGACGGCTGCTGTGGACCCAGTGATGGTGGTGATGCGCTCGGGGCAGGAACCCTCAGAGATGGTGATCCGGGCACTGCTCTGCGGGTACAGAAAGGCCGGGCAGCAGGTCTCCTTCTCCACTTCCTTGTCAGGAACCTGTCTGCCTGCCCACTCACCAGGCCCCGGCCAAGGCTGGAAACAGCTACCTTCCAAGGGCACTCACTGGTCATCCCAAATAGTGGGGTTCAGGGAAAATGCAGCTAGGGATCTCCCCTCCCCTCCAAACCAGGTGCCCTGGGCAGCTCTCCCAAACTCCATCCTCACCTGCTCCCGGATTCGCTTTACAGTCTCTCCTTTCTGTAGGAGACAAAATACAGAATGGCTCTTAGCCTGACTGGTCACTGCCCCCACACCTGGCCTAAGCCCTCAGATTGAAGTCTACACAGAACAGAACTGGGCACCTACCTTCCCAATTATGCTGCCAACCTCCTGCAAATGAGACAAGAGTAGAGTCAGGGAGCACCAATGCCCCAGGCCCTGCCCCTCCGCCAGGACAGGAGCTCTAGCAGAGACAGAATGCAGGAGAACAAACTGCTGGCTGGCCATGCCTCACCTTGCCCCCCACCCACTCACCTTTCCATGCATTAGCATCCGAAGTGTGAGGGTGATGCTGAGCTCTGGCTCCTCCTCCAGCCCCGCATCTGAACCGCTCATCCTGTCAGGCGGGGCTGGGGCCACAGCGGCCTGGGGGTGCGTCCACGGTGCCCAGCCGACTCTGGTGGGTGCAGCAGAAGCGGGGTTAGAGAGGAGCCCAGGTCTCTTTTGGGTTCCCTGCCCTTACATGAAGATATCAGAGCCAAACTAACTAAATTCCTACAGAAGAGAGACAGTTTCGAATGTCACACTGACCAGTGTCCTTGTATACAACTACTTGCTAGGTAACCCTGGACAGTTCATTTAACCCATCTGAGCCTCCGCTTCCTCATCTGTAAGAGGAGACTACCAAGTCCTACCATCAAAGAGTTATGAGAATTAAAATGAGCTAAGTACATATGCAGTAGGCAGCCAGTCTCCATGGGTATCCTTCCCTTTCCCACATATATTAGAAAAATTAACCAGGAGGCCTATGGGAGTCCAGAGAGGGAGAGCCTCCTCTCTGACCTTTTGGAAAAGGGGACCCCTGTGGATTGGGCCTTGAAAGTTTGGTTAAGGTTGAAGTTATTTCTTTTTTTTTTTTTTCAACGTTTTATTTTATTTTTGGGACAGAGAGAGACAGAGCTTGAACGGGCGAGGGGCAGAGAGAGAGGGAGACACAGAATGGGAAACAGGCTCCAGGCTCTGAGCCATCAGCCCAGAGCCCGACGCGGGGCTCGAACTCACAGACCGTGAGATCGTGACCTGGTTGAAGTCGGACGCTTAACCGACTGCACCACCCAGGCGCCCCGAAGTTATTTCAAATGAGAAGCACTTGCATCCAGGAGCCAGAGCTCCCCACCCCCCGCCCCTGCCCCAGGACTATAACATGGAGTTGCTGCTGGAGCTGAGGCTGGAGAGCCCATCGGGAGCCACAGGAAGGCCTTGAAAGGAGGGTGGAAGTAAAGATAGCAAGGTTCTAGGAGGGTCCATTTGCCCCAGCCTTCCCACTGCCCGGCAGAGGCTTGTGGGGATTGGGGCACAAGGGCTGGGAATACCACCTCCACTGGTCACTAAAGCAGAGCCTCCCTGCAGACAGCAGGGTTCATTCAGCACATGGGGCAAGGGGGGGTGGTGTCAGGAGACCAGCAGTCTGCATAATGGTTTTCCTAGCCATCTCCTGTGTGCTGCAGAGGTAAGAAGTGGCCACATTCCCAGCCAGGAATACTTTCTACTGCACCAGACACAAGTCACTGGGCTCCCAGTCTCAATTTCCTCACCTATAAAATGGAGAGAATGCTTCCCCCCTGGGACTGGGTGATGGGTAAGAAAGGGATTTGGGGGCTGGGAAATGTCAAGGCCGTTAACTGTTAACTGACAGAGGAAGGAGGAGCCAGAGATTAGCTTCTGGGATTAGCCCAGCCGCCAGCCCTCCCAGCCCTCCCTACCCGACCCCTTTTCATGCCCCGACTTAATCCTGAACCTTAATCCTGCTTGGAAATCCCTCTCCTCCAGCCGGCTGTCTCCTACCAAGGCTCAGCCTTGATGGGGAGCTAACTGGGGGACCAGAACCCAAGGCAGAAAATGGAGTGGGACCAATTGGTGCCAAAGCTGAGCCAAGACCAAGCCCTAACTCTGCAAATTCCTTCTGCCCAGGAGGGTGTGGGAGCCAAGGATGAGTGTGCCTGCCTAGAGCACTCTAGAGACCTCTGGGCACCTTCTTCCTCAGCCCCCTGCCCTATTCTGACATGAGGGTCAAGGGCGTGGAGCATTGTCCAATCCCCTCGTTGGAACCCCCATGCTAGCCAGAGCTTGGGCGTGGAGTAGGAAAGGGGTGCCCCCAGCCTGGCTTTCTCAGGAAGCCCAAGCAAGCCACTCTACGGCATGAGGCCTGTTCCTTCCCTGTACCATTGGGTGACAATGCTGTCCCCCCAAGCACTCAGTAACTTGTCTCCCCAACACAGGCTCCTCCCTCCCCTTGAGTCCTGTCCACAGGCTCTCCAGAGGTCAGAAGTCAACAGTGGATACAGGGACTCTTCTGTGAGCATCCTGGCCAGCCTCATGCTGGCTGCCCTTGCTAATGTTCCCCCAGCTGCATGCACTTCCTCCAGCAAAGCACTTGTAATGACGTGCTTAGTTTGTGCCTCCCTGGACAGCCAAGCTTGGGAGCCCCTTAGAGCAGGGGCCAAGGCTGCCACCTTCTCCTTGTGTCCCCAGAGCTCAGACCAGAGCCAAGCTGGAGAAGGTGTTCAGAACATAATGGTGAGCTGAACAAATGAATTCACCAGACAGAAGGCAACCTGATGCCAACAGAGGGTCTATAACCTGCCCAAGGTCACAGAGAGGTGGGGGAAAGCACAGTCCTGCTTGCTAGTGTGGGGCTCTGTCACAGGCCCCGTCCGCCTCTCCTTTCTGGCTGTCCCATCTGGATTTGTCAGTCCTCTTCCTGGAGCAGGGCTCTTTAAAGGTGAGGAGCAGACTTAGTAGTCTGTGAGACCCCTGCCTGGCTAGTACATGTGGGTCATGTCTGGAAAGGACTGACAACTTGTCCAAAGCTACGGCCTTAGGCTCCAGAATTTTCAGACACTCAGGGACTCCTTTGGAATGGCAATCAGTGGGAGACTTCACACTGTCCCCATACCATTGCCACATTACCTCTTGGGGTCATAAGGCTTGAGGAAAAAAGGGCAAAGGGCCTAGAATGTGGCCAGAACTAGAGTTCCTGCCCTGCAAACGGTACCTGGGTCTGTAGTAGAGCCCACTGCCTCAAGTTCCATGGGTGACCTTGGCCAGGCCTTCACCTGACATGGACCTCAGTTTACCCACCTGTGCTATGTGTGTATGTATGGGGCTGGGGGTTGCTGGTGCTGGTATCTCTGTGTCCTTCCTGTTCTGAGACACCCTCAAGATCTTTCCTGTTTTTAGGAGAGAACAAGAGTTCCTGACACAGGTTTCCCAAATTAGTCTCCTAGGGGCCCTAAGAGCAAACAGTCCTATTAGGCGTGCTGGCTCCCCTTCTGCCCTCACCAGGGTTCTAGGGAGTTATTTGCTGGTGGGCCCTGGGTCCCTGCTGGGCCACCCACATGGCAGCCACACGTCATGCCATACTGACCTCCAGCTCACCTCTGGGGGTGCCCAGCCCCCTCTGGTCAGCAGGGCTCCTTGGCAGAACATACCAAGCTCAGACCAGGCCTCTGACCTCGGGTGTTCCCTTCTGCTCCCCAGGCCCCCTCCCCAGATCGAGTGCCCACTCCTTCTGTCCCTGGCTTCCTGCCACCCAGGCTGGAGGGGGCGGGGGGGGGGGGGGGGCAGTCTCCAAGTTCATCCCCCACCTCACATCCCCTGACATCCCTCTCAGCACCACCAGGCTCCAACCTAGCAGCCTCCTACTCCTAATCCAAAAGCAGCCATGCTGGCCACACCCAGTGATGCTGGGGAATGGCTCGGGACATCAGGCGAAGCAGGGCGTGGCGGGAGGTGGACACTAGGCTTGGGGAGATCAGCACTGAGGGAGGGATCCTAACTCCCTTGCCTATCCCCTTCACTGGGTATGCTCCCCCTTCTTGATTACCCAGGCCTCCACAAGAAATGTTCCAGTATCCTACGACCCATGTGCCCAGCCTCTCAGCCTTACAGCTTCCCAGGATGACCATTCATAGCACTTCTTGGGAGAGTCAGGGGAGGAGAGGCCTGCAGGGGAGCAGCCTGGGGGGTCCATGAGCTCCACCCTCTGGTTTCCTGACCCAAAGCTATCCTGTAGAATCTATGCTAGGCAGCGAAGGGGAGCTCTGACAAGTTGTCTGGTGTCAGAAATGCTATAGCCTCCTTAGGGCATCATTAGGCAACTCCTCAAGAGTCCTCACAGCCGAGGGAAACTGAGGCAGGCCCAGACTGGGCTCCAGGAGGAAGGACACAGCTTCATGGTACAGCCCCACCCCCTGATACCCTTTGCCTCACCCAAATTGAGAAAGGTCTCTAGCTTTTATTTTCCATGCTGGAGACTCGGTCATTCTGCTGCTCAACAGCCATCGATGGCTCCCCAGTGCCCAAGGAATAAAGCCTGATCACCATAGACAAGCACTCAAGGCCCTTTGTGATCTGGTCCCTGCCAGCTTCTCTTCTCTCATCTCTACCCCTTCTCCCCTACACACCAGGCTGCAAAACACGCCTAGCACCTCCAGGCCTCTGGGCCTTTGCCCAGGCTGAACCCAGCTTGAAATGCCCATCCTCCTCACTCTCTGTCAAAATCCTTCTCAAATGCCACCTCCTCTGTGAAGCCTTCTCCAACCTTCCAAGTCAGATATAATCACTCAGGCCTCTGTGCCCCTTAAAGATATGCCTCAACTCAAAGGAGCCCCAACTGGGCATTTTCAAGCCTATCTTTCTACTACCCAGGAAAGTAAGAGTTCCTCCAGGAGATCAGGAGCCAGGACGTGTGCAGGGAGAAGGGCCTGGCGGCATTAGGGACCAGAGATGGGGCTGAGGGTCCCAGAGAAGCAGTAAGGATGGGGTGAGAAGATCAGGGCATGGGGGGACCAGCCACATAGGAGGCCCAGGATCTGGCTGGACAGAATCCTCTCTCCATTCCTCAGCAGAGCCCCTGCTCCTGCTGTTTCTTTGGATCTAGGTGCTTCCAGGGCATGTCACTGGGGTGGGGAATTTGTGCTGTGCTTTGAGACTTCCAGGGGCCCAGAATGGGTTCCCCATGTGGAAGGGAGGCTGGAAGAAGAGCTGGGGAGTGGCGCAGGTTTCACAAAATCAGAACCTGAGGCCCAAAGAGGAACGCATTTGTTTACAAGGCTACATGAAAGGCAACTGGCAGAGCTGGGAGAACCAGGGGTCCACCTGTGCAGCTCAGAGCTCTTTCCTCAAGAGGTCAATGCCACTGGGCGATGGTGATGGAGGCTAGAGGGGGGGTAGGTGGCAGGGATGGGAGTAGGGAGGGTGGACAGAGCCTGTCTGGGGACACAGGGCGGGGCAAAGCCAGCCTCCCTGTGGCCTGGGCCTGCCAGGGTGTGTGGGCCGCCTGCTCCCAGCCCCCCACCCTGAGCATGCAGGAAGAACAATCCCCTTGTGTTTGG